ATGAAATATGAGGATGTCACAGAAGTACTTCAGAATGCCTGAAAACACTCACAAGAAATAAGAAAGGAAGAAAGAAGTGGTGACTTGTTCATGGAGCTGATCAGTCTAATGCTTTACCTTCCAAGCGACCCAAGAACTCTACATGAACTTTATATGAAATGAGTGTTTGATAGCTCAGGTACTTTCAATTCCCCATCATCTTACCAAAGGAAAATGCTAAGGACTTCAGGCAGGCTATCCTGTGGAGCCAGCTCTTTGGATTACGCAGGTCTCTTCCCTGTGCAGACTGCAGCAAATGAAGATGTAACAGAGGATTCAGCCTTTCAATGCTACAGTTCAAAGATTTAGGAGTACCTTGATAACACACAGCAGGATATAGAGCTCTGTGTGGAGGCAAACAAAATCACATTCCCAGGAAGCCAAAACCCTTGCTGTATGGTGGCTTACAGCTATGTATCTAAGGCTGGCTTTCAGTGAGAGCAGCTTCTCCCTCCTTCGCCTCCTGGAGAAGTCTCTGGTCAGGAGTGTATCAGAGGGTGGCTTACTGAGGACCCAGTGGCATAAGACTGTGAAGTATCCCCATGAAAAAGGAGGGGAGATGAGCAAACTTAGCATTCACCAGCCTTTCACACAGTAAACTCAGGAAGTTTGTCGTATCTGTCGCAGTCCCTTCCTTTCTTCCCTCTTCCCAAAGCGAGTCTAATTTAAAGCAAGCCTTTTTTTTTTCCCAACCACAGCACGTCCCCAAGAATTTCCTTTCCTCAAAATCACCAGAATCCAAAGGGTGTAATTCAAGTCAAAAGGGGCATTTTTCCCTTCCTGATGCCAATAAATTCTGCTTCCCAGGGTTAGTCTTCTGCCTTAGTCTGCTTTGGCCAGCTACTTTTACCCTGGATTTCACATCCCACCCATCCAAACACAGCGTGCAGCCATCGGGCTACATGCACATCACTAGCACACCCACCAATCTGGCACTCCAGTGCCCCACTTCCCACCATCTCAATCACAGAATCCCAGACTGGTTTGGGTTGAAAGGGACCTTAAAGCTCATCCAGTTCCAATCCCCTGCCACAGGCAGGAACACCTTCCACTAGACCAGGCTGCACTAGACCTTGAACCTGGCCTTGAACACTGCCAGGGATGTGGCAGCCACAGCTTCTCTGGGCAATCTATGCCACCTCCTCACCTCCCTCACCTCCACTTGCAGCAAGAGACCTATGGTTATGTTTCCATGCATATTACAGTCTCCAGAAGAGGTCCGAGTGACTGACACACTGCCCTGCTTCCTGCCAGCCTTGCACAGGACAAGGGAGCACAGCTATTCAGCATTCCCAAGGCATATGCCTGCAGCCCAGCACCAAGCCAAAGCAGCTGCTTCAGCTGTGTATGTGCTCATCCCCTAGAAATTAATAAGTTATTGCTACAAATTAAAATACTAAGTTAATGATGTGCATGACTGTGAGTTACAGGGCTGGAAAAGGAGTCCTAAATAAATCAATACTGTTATTAGTCCCTTGTCATCTCTGATTATTTATCAGCTTAATATGCTTCATCGTTTTCACTGCTAATGAAAATAGCTGCAGTGCCACCATGGGAAGCAAGGCTAAGACATATGAAAAACCTATGAGGCTGTGCTGAAGTCCCACCTCCAGACAGAACTATGTCTTCCAGAGGAAAAAGAGAAAGCATTTCATTTTCTGGGCTGGTAGTCTGATGACACTGAAGTTGGTGACAAAAACTCATGGTTTTTAAATGGGTGTTCCCTCACGGAATTTTTGATTGTTGAAATGCAGTGGTTAAAGACTTGACTTCTAATCCCTGGCTTAGTCCTGAGCAGTTGTCCCAGTGCCTCTGAAGCGATAGGATATCACCATGGTCCTGTCAGAGGCCAACATGCCAGTACATTTCCCCAGAGCCCACCCCAATTGACCTTCATTAGGTACTTCATTACCCCAGAACATGAGGAAGAAACTGGCATCAAGTAAGCTGGCAGGCACTAACTGTGGTGTCTAGGTCCTCAGGGCACAGATGTAGCTAAGGACAAGTGGCATCCTTTTGGCCTTTGGTGGCATCCTTTCATGCCACCAAAGGCCAAAAATAAGGTACTGAGGTCACTTTTTTCCTGGTTAACAAAAAGTAAAATAGCACTTTGGATACAGGCAATTGATAGGATTTACCCAGAGCTAAGTGGAGTTTGGGCTCCACTTGCTCTCCTGTCTCCTATTATCCTCTCATTTACTCCATCTTTTTCCTAACTCTTTTTACCAAGCAAGTTTCCATCACTGACTGCAGGAGGCTTATTGAGTATAAGGACCATGTAAAAACCTCAAGAACAGGTTGCCACATCTCTCCAATAGATGCAAAAAAATCGCCAAACAATTGGTAAGATTTGTACCACAATACATGGATCCATTATGGAATTAGGCAGGACTTTCATCTGACAAACAGCTTTTACAAGCAAGCTCTTTTGGGTGGGTGATCAACAGAGATACAAACACATGACTCCAAGAAGAAAAGTGCTCCTTGAACTCACTGATGAGGCTGGTGTGCAGTGTTCACACTGCTAATGGGTGATCTGGTACATTAAATGACACTGTAAAATACCATGTGAAGTTTCTCAAAGCTGAAGAGCACTTAAACAATTTCTCAGGGCTCTCTCCCTCACACTGTGATGATAAATTGCCACCTGCTCCATGACTAATGATAGAGCTTTGTTAGTGCCATTTTATCATTTAGTCCTCTTACCAACAGCTCTATTATAGAGTCATAGAATCCCAGACTGGTTTGCGTTGAAAGGGACCATAAAGCTCATCCAGTTCCAACCCCCTGCCATGGGCAAGGACACCTTCCATTATACCAGGTTGCTCCAAGCCCCGTCCAACCTGGCCTTGAACACTGCCAACTTCTCTGGGCACCCTGTGCCAGCGCCTCACCACCCTCACAGGGAAGAACTTCTGCCTAAGAGCTCATCTCAACCTCCCCTCTGTCAGGTTAAAGCCATTCCCCCTTGTCCTGCCCCTACAGGCCCTTGACAGAACTCCCTCTCAAGATTCCTTGTCAACATGCTTTGAGAACACTTCAGCTTCCCATGCTTTTCTTCTTCCCATTGCAGTTTTGAGAATTTCAAGCTCCTTTATTTTGATAAAGAAGTTAATGGGGGACAGCCAGTGGCCCACAGAAACCCTATACCCCAGTATTTGGATATCAAGCCCAGCTGGTTTATGTCAGACACTAAAGAAACAATTTTCTTTCCAAGCTGAGCACTTGGGCTAGCCTACAGTTTGATGAGCATACGGCAGTTCCTTTAGAAATGGGCTGATCTCCAGTGAAATATTTGGCCATTTAATGAGTAGGCTCCAGGATAACAGTTTTCGTGGGAATCCAAAAAGAAGTAGTAAAGACTAGGGCTCCCCATGCTATTCTTAGCTGCAAACAGTTAAGATTTGGAATTTTGATTGGAAAGCATGGAATTTAGAAATGGTGCCATTCTAAATTTACTGCATTTGTATACAGTTCAGCTGGATAATCAAATGTGTTCCAGTATGTTCCTGGTTAGCATCTCAGTTTGAGTTTTATTGTCTCTAAACTGGTAGAAAAATGCAGTCAGTAAATAGTGCTTTGCAGAATTTGTGTTCTAGTGAGTGTGTGCACAAAGGTTTTACACACACAATGTGGATGCAGATTTTATATAAACACCTCTGTGGGTGCACATGCATGCACACAGACACCGAGCTGTGAATTATTTCCAGAGGAAAGCCAACGAAATTCCCACCCCCTACCATTTAAACGATCGCTCTTTGGCTCTAAACATTCTCTAAATTCCCAGCCAAGGAATGTATTTTCCCCTTCCAATACATATAATTTATTTTGTTGCACACATTAGTTAATGATACAGAGCTACATGATTTTACAGACCCAGCACATTTTCTAAGACCTTTTTTGCTTTGCTGCTCTTTGGTGGCCCAGTGCAAATTCACAGCAGTCATCAGCCCAAGGATTTGTCATATCTGCTTTGTACTCCAGCAGTTTTTCATAATTAGATTGGCTTTCCGGGGTTAGACAGGCTTTTAATTATTGTATTAATGGAGGTAAAAGGGACTTTACACTGGTTCATCGTTTGGGGCGGGGTGGAGGGAGGGGGAGTCATTACGGGACACAGCTATTTTATTTCTTTGTTACTTTGCAGAGATTATTCCTGAATTTTTAAATATAGTCGGTAAAACGCTAATAATAAATCCCTTATCGGGGCACTGGGAGCGGAGGCCCGAGGCGAGCGACCGCCCGCAGAGCCGAGAAAAAGCTCACCCCATACCACCCCATTCCCGTACCCCACATTCCCGCAGACTTACGCGGTGCCGGCAGCCTGTCCAGGTGGATCTCATCCTTATCCATCTCCGAGCCGATCCCCGCAGCCCACTCGCTACTTGGTATCAAACTGAACTTCCCAGGATCCCTCCTCCTCTTCCCCCTTCCTCCTCCCCCTCCTTGCTTTCGGGGAGGGCCCCGCGCATCCAACTAGCAGCACCACTCGGCGTCCCGGCCACACTTTAAATAAGGGCGCGGGGAGCGCGTCCCTCCGCGGTAGCCGCCTCCCATACGCACCGCGCCGGTCCCTCCCCGCGCACCCTGCGCGCAGCTCCGCGCCTACCTGCGGCGGCAGTTAGCTGCCCTGACCTTGGAGCTGCGCCGGAGCGACGGCGGCAGCTGCCTGGCGGGGACAGCGCGGCCGCGAAAGGTCAGCACGTCCTGCGCGCCGGCGGAGACACCGGGGGCACCCCCGCGGGGCAGAACCCTCTGGGACCCCGGCGCGGCAGCGGTTTAATCGCTTCCCCGCTGCGTTTCCTACCGGCGATGGTTGTTCTAAGAGTTCCCGCGCCTCACAGCTTAACAAAAAGGGTTCAAAAAGGACCATCCCGTGCCGATACGCTTCCGGAGCGGAGCTACTGGCGGGGTCACACGCCTGCCCCCTCAGCCGGGGTACGGCTGGACCGCTCCCGGCTCCCCGCTGCCCGTGCTTCCCGCTTCTCCAGCCGCGCCGACCGGGCAGGAAGGGCCCCATTGCGAAGGGAGGCTCTGCCCTGCCTGCCACGGTCGGACCCAAGAAGGACGAGCCGAACATCACCAGCAGACTCAGGTCCTCGCAGGATAACACCAGGTTACCTTCTGACCACTGGGTTTTTAGAAATCACAGTCACAGGCTGGTTTGCTTTGAAAGGGACCATAAGGCTCATCCAGTTCCAACCCCCTGCCATGGGCACGGACACCTTCCACTAGACCAGGTTGCTCCAAGCCCCATCCAACCTGGCCTTGAACACTGCCAGCGATGGGGCAGCCACAGTTCTCTGGGCACCCTGTGCCAGCACCTCAGCACCCTCACAGGGAAGAACTCCTGCCTAAGAGCTCATCTCAGTCTGCCCTCTGTCAGGTTAAAGCCGTTCCCCCTTGCCCTGTCCTTACAGTCCTTGTCCAAAGCCCCTCTCCAGCTTTCTTGTAGCCCCTTTAGGCACTGGGAGCTGCTCTAAGGTCTCCCTGGAGCCTCCTCCGGGCTGAACAAGCCCAGCTCTCTCATCCTGTCTCCAGATCAGAGCTGCTCCAGCCCTTGCAGCTTATCCGTGGCAACCTCTGGACAAATGTGAGGTGTGAAATAGTTGCCACTCACTTTTTGCACCTCCAGCTGTGTGGCTACTGTATTTGCCAAGATTTTTGAACAGGTTTCCAGGCTTATCCACCTCCACAGAGGTGCCCACACAGATTCTCTGGTATTCTCCAAATCTGCTGCTGGATCCCATGCCACGCTGTAGAAGCCCACTCAAGCAAAACCAAAGCAGCACCATTCTCTGATTGCTTTCTCTTTGTATTGTTTTTGTTGTGTTTTTTTTTTTTCTTACCTCAGACAAGTACTTAACCCTCAAAACTGCAAAGACAGAAGTGCACAAGGGACCTGCCAGAAGCAAACAGGCTCAGCAGTATTCCCAACATCTGGCAGGCACTCCTGATTGGGTCAAGCTCCTGGCACTCCTGTCCCCAGCACCCATAGAAGGGACACTGCTGAGTAGCATCTAATCCTACTCTCAACTCTCCTTTGTCACCAAAAAAAAAGAGCAGGTTATGGCTTAGAGAAATCTATGGGACTGTAGTTTAAAATCAGAAAAGCATCTTCGTCTTTGTGGTTGGAGGTTCGACAGCAGGGACAGAAAACACGTCAAGATAAAGTTATATTTCTATATATTTATGCATATGGACTCTTCCTTCTTGGAATATAATCCCTAGATGTTTTGAAGCTGAGTCAGTATGCTTTGAGGCTATGTTTTGTATCTTTTTAGTCGTTTTTTTTCAGATGGCGTTTCAACTTGCATTTATTTAGTGTATTCTTTGCTGAAAACAAGCAAGTAGCTTGTGTTGAACTTGAAGCCTCACTTACCAGCTTGCTTCACCAGAGATGCAAGGCACTTGCAGAAAGATCCTGCTCTTTTTCTTTCCCTCAAAATTAACATTTTGGATGGAGATTTACAACAGAACCAAATGTGACCACAAGACCAACATGGATACTTGTTTTATGACTGGAAATAGCACTGGATTCCAATGTCCTAATCTCATCACGACTGCAAGCTGACCAGCTTGAGGCAGGCCAGCTAATCAAGGACATCATTTTGTAATATAGCAATAAAGCCAACATTACTGGCTCATTCCAGGTGTCTACATGTTAATGAGCAATCAGGCCACAAAGATGCTGCAAGGAGCGCCTCTGTTCTGGATCTGGAGGGATCTTCAAGGTTCCTTCCAATCCAAACCAGTCTGTGATTCTATGATTTATTTGTAGTGTCCTGAAAATTAAAATACATTAATTTTCTAGTATTATTTTAGGAGGTCTGGAGCTGACATGGCCCAGATTGAAATGGAAAAAAATCTTGGTGTGATGTGGTACCTGTGCTTCACCTGGGAATACCAAGAGGCAGGACAAGGTTCCTTCCCATTCCCCTGTAAGAGCTATAGCAGATCCCTTAGCTGCTTTGGAGAAGCCCCTTGTTGGAAACTGCTGTCAAAAGCATGGGAAAATCCTGCATCTGGAGAGTTTGCCTGGCCTCCATCACTCCATGCTGCTTCCCACACTACTTCATTTTCCTGTCAATATTTCCTGGGCTCTTCCCTGTGTGGGTGTACAGACTTTGTAGTTAGAGTAACAAAAGCTGGACCACTCTTTCACCTGAAGTGACAGGACAGAGCAGTGGGACTGCTCTGACTCTAAAAGCAGAGGAAACATCATTTGTCTTTTCAAGAGTCCTATGAGCTAAAATAGGCTGTTGGGCTGATAGGAAGCAGAGCCTCCAGCTACAGCTTTCTTCCTTAGCATGAGATAAACCCTGTATGCCATCTCAACGCCTTCTTGGGAGAAGACTGGTAAAGGGATGGAGGAGCTACTGTCTATATAATAAAACTGCTTTCTTAACAATGAGGAAGGAGACAGTGCTGCTTGGCATCCACATCTATAATAAGTGCACTCACTGGAAATATTTAGAGTCTGCTCCTGCACAATGCGCTGTGTACCTTTGTAACAGCAATAACGATGCAGTTCTTGGCTTCTGGAATTTGGAGCTGAGCAAAGGAAGACTCTGGGTCTTTCAGTACTCATAATCTGGGGAAATGCCAGGGCTTAAGGCCCACCATCCCAAATGGCAGAACAAGCCCACCAGCCACCTCTGTGCCTTGCACTTGCCTCTGGACTATTTTTATGAAGTCCTTTCCCCTTTGGAGGGGCAGGCAGTGAAGGCAGGAATACACTTCAGCTCTCTTTTCGGCTGGGGCATCCGGAGATAAGAGCCCATATCCCTGGCAGCCACCCGAAACAGCATGAACACAATCACATGATGGTGAAACAAACCCTGGCCGTGGCTGGGACAGCCTTTAGCATGGCATGCGGCACTCTCATTGGTGCACTCAACAAATAAAAATTCAAGGGATACGTTGTATATGAAATAGAGAATCAGGTTCCAGGGAGCCCTAAAATCACAGGCAATGAGGGAAAGACTAATGGAATAATAAGTCACAATATCAAAACTGAAGCATACTCTGAGAAATTAGCAAGTGGCAAGATTAAGATGAGCAGAAAGCTTTTTTTGCCATGTAATATACCAAAACCATAAGATTATGATGTAAATTGTAATACAGCACTAAAAACTCTGGCTGTTGCTACATTTTCATGGGATACAAGCCAAGTCAGAAGCACAGCTTTTTTTAAAGAGTACTGAGAAACATTTATGAAAAATAGCTCCATGGTGTCTACCATACAAAGTAGCCTGGCTATAATTTTGAGCTCAGTAAGCTCTTAAGCCTCTGGTTGTTGGAAAGGCATTTGCGGGGAAAGACATTCTGTTTCTTATCTCCTTCCTTTCTGCTTCCCACTGACAGGCCCTGAGTCCTGGGCTAGATGGCAAGTCTTTGGGCTCTGTAACACTGCATTGATGCAGAGCTCATGTACTTAAAGCACATAATATTTTGTTTGTTTCAAATTTATTTAGGTCAAGCGTAGATGTATGGGAATTATTAAACAGATACTGCTAAAAACATTATTTCATCAATGCCCCAATCTTGCGAGTGCTACTGTGCATATTTATATGAAATATTACTTCTGTAAACAGTCTCGGCTTTCTTGAGTGTGTGATTTAACGTTTTGCCAAAGTGGAGTGAGAAAACCATTACTGTTTGTAAATAGTAATGCCTAGTACAGCAAATAGATGCTTAACCTGAAGGCAGTTTAAGGACTGAATCAAACAATGTCTACAGTAAAAAAACATTTGCTACTTTACAGGTCTTTGTGCCAGTGGCAAAAGCAGGTTGGGGGTCACCACACATTCCCTAAATTCAGAATAAATATTCAGGATGACTGATTTTCACAAGGTTAGCCAATGTAACAGGAGTGAAAAATGAAGTTCTGCATAGCAAAATTTGCAAGACAGAGCCCTCCCTGCTTCTGCATATGTAAAGAATATTTCCTTATGAAATGCTTTCACCAGTTACCATTATGGATGCAGGCAGGGTTTTCCCATTAATGATGCTGAAGTTTCCAAGTGTCATTTGACAGAAGTTAGAGAAACCTCCCCCTTTCTCCCCCTGCAATTTACAGTTGGAAGTGACAAAGCCCGAGAGGCCAGCCAGGACAGGAAGAGAGAAGATTTGACTCAGATGATGTGAGTCATGGTTGGTTTCCAATTCTCTCCTTGCTGCTCCTGCAAGGAAACTCTTACAGCCATGGCAAGCTGACTGGAGGGGTGGGAAGCAAAACTGAGCCCACTCCAGCTTCTTTTAACCCTCTGTCTTTGGATCCATTCCCTCCTCATCCCAAAGCAGATTAGCTGGACCCAAGCTACTGCTGATCTGAGTTTTCCTGATTTGTTTCTATGAGGTCATCAGTTTCAAGCTTCTGAAGGAAGTTGGTGCTATACTCAAGAATATCCTTGCATGGAAAACAAGCAGGGGGAATTAGAGGGTTGTACAAGCCTGAAGGGCTACAACCTCATTGGCATTACAGAGATGTGGTGGGACACTGACTAGAGTGTTGGAATGGAAGGATACAGGCCTGTGGCAGTGGGATTGGAACCAGATGATCTTTAAGGTCCCTTCCCACCCAAACCATTCTATGATTCTATGATTTAGAGAAGTTTTTCCTAATCTCAATCCCTTCTTGCTATATGGCAAGTCCTATTAGTCCACAGCCATTTCCATTACACATATATGTTCCCTTCTCTTTGATCTCCATGGCTAAACTTACTGATTACTTTCTTGAACTGAACCTTCAAGTAACTAGGATAGAAAAAGTACAAATTTGCTCCATAGAGAGCAAAACAGGGTAAAGTATTTTCTTGCCACTCTTTGCAATCCTTGGAGCCAGCATCCTCCTCAGCACACGTTTAGGGCACTAACAATGGTTCAAATTAATGCACTGTCAGCAGCTTGGACACTGGAAGACCATACCCTATGTGCTACAGTCATCTACAAGACATCTACAGGGCAGAGAGACAGCAGAAACAGCATCCTGCACAGACTGGCACAGACTTACCAGTTATCAGCAGATATGACTAAAACAGCTCAAGATTTGATACCCACTGCAGGTTAGACTCCGAAAAGCCTGGAGGTTAGATAGTGCTTCCAGAAGGTTCTACTGGTGCTTCTAGCCCCTCAGTGTGACCACCTGCTTGCCATCAGAGATCACACCATGATGCTGGGCTCCCTATCCAGCCCACCTCCTGGGCAGCTAGAAGCCCAGCCTGACCTCTGTTTCCTGCATCCAGCCAAAAAGCCCCAGGTGAAGAAGTCCAAAGTCTTTTTATTTCCTGGGGAGTGCTGAGGGATCCCTCCCTTCCCACAGGGGCCATCTTCTTGCATGGCCCCAGCTGGGAGGAAGCCGAGGCCTCTATTAACTCTGTGCAGGCTGTAGGCATCTCTGGTGCATGTGGTCCTCTCACAAGTGCCTTTTAAGCACTGGGAGCTGAGGATTTAAGAGTCTTATTTTACAGTAACTTCACAAAATAGATTGAGGACTTGTGTAAATGAGTGAATATCTGAAGTTAAAGCAGTACCAGATTGTAATAGAGCAGCAAAGAAGCTGTTGCACTAATATTTGGATAATATTACACATGGATCTGCTTTTTTGCACCATTACTATAGTGCAAGTCTCAGTGATCTCCATACAGTAATTATTTCCCAGGTAACATATAAATATTATAATGTCTTTCATGGGCGTGAGACATCAGCAGGGAAATTACACATATGACTGTCACTGAATTGTAGGTTTAAATTGTGTTATTTCATCTTTTCAATTATCATTGCTGGTAACAGGTGTCTGGTAGTTTTTCAGTGTGTTTGGTTGTGTTTGGGGTATTTTTTAACTGGTTACAGTATCTATGTTAATATCCACAGTTTATCACCAAGGTGTTTGTGGTTTAAACACATGAATCATGAATTCAATCAGGATCTCTGTGAGGACTCCCTGAAAACAGGAGAACAATGACCTGAGAATCCAGCTTGGGGCTGTGACTCAGTAGCAAGTTCAGAGTGATTCCCCAGTGTTTTCCCAAATATCCAAGGACCTGCATGAGAAGCTGGTTAAAGAAACAGTTGTGTTTACTTTTCCAGCCTCAAACCTCTGTGTTTCTGTGGCACAGGTATGGAAAGAAAGAAGTACAGAACCTTTTGAAGAAGAATTAATATTCAGTGATCCATCTGGGACAAGCCAGAGCATCACCTGCAATAGAGGGGTGCTGGCCTTGTAGTCAGGTATGGTTGTATCTTCATGTCTTTGAATATCAAAATGATCCAAGGAAGAATATAGACATTTTGGTGTTCTGCTTTGAATCTATTGAAATCAAATAATGCAGCAGGAATTGTTTCCTTTTCAGATTGAACAGCATGTACTTTCCAGCAAGGTATCTGTAAATATAACTAACTTGTCTATATCCAGCTGAGTAATTATTAGTAACAAAGCCATGTCAGTTGTTACTGGGTATAAATGCACCAGCACATAGCACATATGGATGTTTTAAAAGCTGTGGCTTTTAAACATGTAGCTGATGCTGGATCCAGTGTGTTCCCACAGCCCAGGTCTCTGCTTTCTTCAAAGCACCACCGTCTAGGCCATTTCTTCCCCTTTAATGTCCCACTCTCCACCTAATCTTAATAAACCTCTTTAATTGCACCACATGGGAGTTAATCTGTCATTTTGTAGCTCACCCTTAAGACTATCAAGCAGACATCTATCTGCAAGAAAAGGAAAAAGGGTGTTTGCAATCCCATTTTTGTCAGCACTGTGAGCCAAGAGGTACCAGGTCCTGGAGTCTGCTTTCAGAGGCGAGCTGCCTTTCAGGAAAACACAAATTAGAGCAGCCTCTTGCTGACCACAGATGAAAAGGGAATTCAAGGGAGTTTAGGCAGTTCTGTGTTTATCATTCATGTATATCAAAGTGGGAAATAGATACCGCCACACAAATTTCTGGTGCTTCATATTCTTCTCCAAATCATCTTTTGAATATTCCCTTTCAAAATATAGGACCTTGAACAGCTTTTAAGATTTGCTGGACTCTTGTGTTGTGCTGGGGTAGTTGTCACCAATACAGCCTTTAGCTGGTCACTGCTCTTTTCATAACTGAGTCCAGCAGTTCTTTCCCATCTGCTGGGTTGCTGACATGCTTTGTCCTATGCTCCCAAGTCACAACTGATGGGATGGATGCAATTTTCTGCCATTAACCAGGACCACAGCACAATATGCTTGGCAATATGGCCACTGACCCCAAATTATGAATTTTTTTCCCCATTCTGTGTTGCTGGACAGAGCACAAATGGGGAGATCTGGTCCTTCGTTACCACATCTATAACTTTTTCTTCTTTCACCTATTTTATCAGTTGCTTCAACAATAATTTAAACCCAGGAGACTTATACTCAGTTCTTTTATCTTAACAGGTTGAGTTCCTGAGGGAATATGCCAACACCTGTACTGAAGATGGGGATATCAACACCTATGAAGTGATGTACTTGGCACAAGGTGTGAAAGGGTACCAGTGACAGAGTAAGAGACCTTCCAGTGTCTGATTCTGCTCCAAGTCCTTTTTCACAGGCACAACTTGCACAGCCAACAACCCCCACATGTATAGTACCCCAAAAGAAGTCCTCAAATGTCTTTCACCATGAGATAATAAAGAGTATTATTTCATTATTGATTATATGGATGGGAACAATAAACCTGAACTGAATAAAGATAAGAAATGTCAATGTTCTTTATGAATATTTGTTTAAATACTTTAGAAAAATACACTTGCTATAAACCTATACATATCTAATTTATCAGTGGGTTTGGTATCATCTGGAAGATGTAAAAACAATTCTGAAAAACTACAAGTTAAAAGTCTGGTTTCAATCCTTTATTTTTCCCCCCTCTGCTCTGATTTTCACACCTCTATCAGGTTTAGTTATTTAAGTTTTTTTCTCTGAATCTTGTGTTGTAAGAGACTTGCAGACTCCATCAATCTTTATCATGCTCTGTTAAACACAAGAGGGCACCAACAAGCCAGTGGAGCTAGGTAGAAGCTGTTCTGTCATAGAATAAAGCAGAAAATCAGTTACAACTCTTGAGAGTGAGGTGGATTTTGAAAATAAAGGAAGGAAAGCAGTGCAGTGCTTTATCATTCCTTTATCTGAAATGACTGGAAAAGAAATCCCTGGCATATGCATATTATGGTGCCTCATTTCTTTCACTAGCTACAATTTGGACTATTTCCGATGGCAGATGGTTCACTAGGAAGGTGGAATCCTGTTTCCTTGGTTTTATAAAGAGGGAATATAGCTTCTATGTTAAAATAAAAATACCAAATAACCTCCAGAATGCAAAGTTGAGCCAAAGGAGCATTAGCCTGTTCTTTAACATAGAAATGTCAGCAATATTTCACTGTGAAACACCAGTGAAGTGATTAGTGAATGCCAAGTGCAAGGTCCTGCACCTGAGTCAGGGCAATCCCAAGCACAAACACAGACCGAGTGGAAACTGGGTGGAGCAGCCCTGAGGAGAAGAATCTGGGGTTGTTGGGTGATGAGAAGCTCAGCATGACCAGGCTTCAGTGTGTGCTAGAGCCAAGAACCTCACCATGTTGGGCTGCATCCGCAGAACACGCATGAGCAGCTGGTCAAGGGAGGGGATTCTGCACCTCTACTGCACTCTGGGGAGACAACCCCCCCCCCCCCCCGCAGTCCTGTGTCCAGCCCTGAGGCAGCAACACAAGAGGGACATGGAGCTGTTAGAGCGAGTCCAGAGGTGACCACAGAGATGCTATGAGGGCTGGAGCAGCTCTTCTCTGTAGGCTGAGAGAGCTGGGCTTGTTCAGCCTGGAGAAGAGAAGGCTCCAGGGAGACCTTAGAGCAGCTCTCAGTGCCTAAAGGGGCTACAAGAAACCTGGAGAGGGGCTTTGGACAAGGGCCTGTAGGGACAGGACAAGGGGGAATGGCTTTAACCTGACAGAGGGGAGACTGAGATGAGCTCTTAGGCAGAAGTTCTTCCCTGTGAGGGTGCTGAGGCACTGGCACAGGTTGCCCAGAGAAGCTGTGGCTGCCCCATCCCTGGCAGTGTTCAAGGCCAGGTTGGATGGGGCTTGGAGCAACCTGGTCTAGTGGGAGGTGTCCCTGCCTGTGGCAGGGGGTTGGAACTGGATGAGCTTTAAGGTCGCTTCCAACACAAACCAGTCTGGGATTCTATGAGTCTATGTTTGTATTACTCAGATTTCCAGTCCGTCTTTGGTTTCTTTGTATTTTCATAAACCATCTGACTAAAAAAGAAGTCTTGAAATATAAACTCAGATATGAAAGTTCTTAACGTAGTTCTTAACATCTCTTGAAATATGGCCATCTGCACATGCAGACAAGTAGAATCTGCCCTGGTGCAGAGGGTGCGTATGAGACCAGATACCACATAAATCATAAAAACATAGTTATGCTCTGATGGAAGGGCAATGTGAGCTGTGCTTCACTCGCCTGTCTAACTGCTGCATTTCTGCTGTGCTTTCTAGTCCCATTGCAAGATCCTAGGTCAGATTGAAAGATCACACATGTGAAAGATAAGTTGCTATTCATTTTCCCACTGTTGCTCATAAAAGCCTAATTCAAAGGATCATGATGGTTTAGTGCAACGTATGAGAGCAAGTTGGTTTTGGGGCTCCAGTGAATGGTTTTGACAATGGTTCTAACTTTTCCATCTGTCTCTTCTTTGACTTCAGACACTGAACGTTCCCTCCCTAGGTATTTCCTGCTGTCTTAGGTGCACTCTCATTCTTCCTGGGTTTTGATGTTCTAGTTCTCAAGGTAATTATCTGTCTAGCCCTTCCCTCTTCCCAGCCTAAACAAACATTGCTAGAACTTGTTTCCAAAGGAATTAACACTTTACAGGTGAACGTGAGGTCTCAAAGGAGACTCCCCTGACTGAGAGCTCATTGAAGTGGGACCCTCTAAGTCAGCAGGTAGCAATCACAAGGACAAAATACGTTGTTTTACAAGTGCTAAACTATTTTTGCTCATATAAAAGCACATCTGAGGCCTGCACAACCCTGTAGAGCGTTAAAATGATTTAGCAATGTAGTCATACCATTAACAGGACGATTCCTAGGATGATGATCCAAGCATGAAAGTTTCAAGCTCTGTTCTGCTTGGGAAAATGGTTCTACAATGACACAGATCTCACCATTAAGATTTTCATGATAATTCCTCATGTTTGGACCTGCACAGAATTGCTTTTACCATTCTCTGTGTTCATATAGGTAATGAACTCTCTGTTCACTGCTCTGTTCACCAGTCTGCCATGCCCAGGATGGATTTATTGGTGCATTCCACATCATGAAACCTGTAGATGGGATAACCTCTACTATCAATTTAGCTGTCCTGGAACAAAGATAGAGGTGGTTGTGCAGAACCAAAGGCAGAAGGTCTTTGGGGAGTTTGGGGAAGGCAGGAGCAGGGCACTGGTGTAATCATGGCTGTTAAGTTTCTTTGTTCAGATACCCTCTAATTGATAGACATGCAATTACAAATGCTTGTAGCCTTATTTTTCACCTAGGTAAAAGTGCTAATTCACGGTTTCTGGATTTAGAAAACTCTCTTGGTTTTGTAAATATATATGTGTTGAAGATGTAATATGTATTAAATTCACCATAAACTCAGAAGTACCCTGTGACTTCAAGATGGTTTTGTGGATAAAACACAGAAGAGGGAGTAAAGAGATGTGAATCCTTCTCACACCATTAACTACCTTGCTTGTGAATATGAGTCAACTAAATTGTCTGTGCTTTATTTCTCATGTGTAAGTGCTGACATTTCCCTGGTTTACTAGGGAAAGAAAGACCACCACTCCTTCAAACTTGAGACCAAAACCTGGCTTTTCCAACCTTTGCAACAGTGGCTTCCAACTGCACTTACCAACCCTTGAAATCAGGAGAGTCTCTGGCTTAATAAAGTTTGTACGTGTGTGAGAGGGGCTTTTTCTTCAGTCACTTCATCTTAAGTAGTTGGTGGGATTGAGTAGAGAAGAGGAGCAGTTGGAGAGGAGTGTCCAATCAATGCCCAAGCCAAATGTTTCTCCATTTTACTTAATTCCAACAATACTAGTGGTTTTTCCTGAACTGTGTTTAAGATGCAGGCATTTTTGTGCATGTGCGCTGGTAGCAGTGTTGATTCCTGCACTTGCAAAAGTTAGAGTTTTGCTTGTGCTGAACTGCACAACATCACTTCAAGCAGAATTGTTCCTGTCTTGTGCTGCTGGGACATTTGAAAGTCAGCTTGTTCACTACACCTAACCAAACACTGTCCTCTGAGGCTTTTGGTCAGGGCTTCAGTAATGGATGTTTGCTGACATCCTTGTGTCTTGCTTCCTTTCCATGAGTCATCATTCCTATTTTCATGTTTACCTCCTCTTTTATTTTACCTCTATTTTATTCTTTTTGCCTTCCTTTAATTTCTGTTCTTTTTATCTACAGAGATTTTACATATGTGCCCTAGACTTCTGCCATGCCTTCGGTAGATCCCTTGTATTGAACACGACTGCAGCGTCTATCTCTGCAGTGTATCCAAACAGTATACAGTTCAAGTGACAACCCCAGGGAAGGTAGCCAAGAACACAAAAGCAATCTCTATCCCTGCAAAAACTGTCCTGAATTTTCTACTATTCATATCAAACATCTGTTTCTCATCCATGCATGGTACTTAACAGATCTTCCTCAGACATACAAATCAACTCTTTGGGGATTTGGATACATTGCTTTAGGGAAGCAAGGTACTCCATATGTGATAATGAAAGTATACAGTGATTGTGGTTCCACACAAATAACTTTCTGTGGTAACACTGACTTAATCCATCTCTCCTCGTTTACCTGCTGGGACTTTTATTGTTGCACTCACTCCTTCCCCTCACTCTGGCTCTGCAAGCATAGGAGAAACTACTGAGGTAATTTAATGTTTTATTTTCAGTTGAATCAGTTCCTCAAACAATCTCACAATATCATAGAATAATAGAATCCCAGACTGGTTTGGGTTGGAAGGGACCTTAAAGCTCATCCAGGTCCAACCCCCTGCCACAGGCAGGGACACCTTCCACTAGACCAGGTTGCTCCAAGCCTCGTCCAACCTGGCCTTGAACACTGCCAGGGATGGGGCAGTCACAGCTTCTCTGGGCAACCTGTGCCAGCACCTCAGCACCCTCACAGGGAAGAACTTCTGCCTTATATCTAACCTGAACTTCCCCTGGTTTAGTTTAAACCCATTGCCCCTTGTTTTATTGCTACTGTCCCCGATGAAGAGTGCCTGTCTGGACAGCACACATGCTAGTGATGATCCAGAGCAGGAGGCAGCTCGGAAGAGGGGCAAGAGTTAAGGGCTACTCATAGCATCCTCAATAACTGTGCTGCTGAATGTGGCACTAGAGCCTGAATTGAAATCAGTTATAGAAAAGTTAGAAAATGTCCCATTGTGAATACTGAAACTTCTAACATCAGGGATGCCAAGTCTGATGAAATTTCCTTTCAGGAACTAATGCAAACTTCCTGAGCTTTATGTCATTCACAATGTCAGCTATGGCATGAAATGTTTCAATCAACCTGAAATAAAGTGTTCTTCCAAAGCATGGACGTTTCCTGCAGACAGGAAATTCTACTAACCAAGCAAGTAGGAATAAATTCAAATGCTGAATCCAACCTGGTTTTCTTGTTGTTACATTTAAATTTCCA